ATATACCCCTCTCCACCAACAAGCCGTAGATAGAAAATTTAAGCTCTGCTTTCCAAATGTTACGGTCCACCCCATATCATAACGCTTGGCAACTTGCAATAAATCTGCCTTACGACACTGCTCAAACTGTTCAACGAAACATAAACACACTTAATGAAAACATCACAGCCCAACACACATCCTCACACACACAAGAAAACAGCCAAGCAAAAAAATTACCCAGCACATAACTAAAAGAGGACGAGCCCCCAATTTATGTTACGACTTGTCTGGGGGTTTGTGATGGTCGTAATAAAAAAAGACAAAAGAGAGCCAGTTGACGTTTAAACAGATCAAGTCATGTTATTTTCTTTTCTTTTGTTGCTCTTTTGTGTGCACAACACAGGATAGCTTCAGAGAGGGCATGCGCCAAAACAACAAACATAACCGGGCTGGTTAGGGATTTTAGAGAAATTACCTTTGTGAAAATAAAGAAACAAAAATACAGTGCATCAGGTGCAGCCATTGAAGAAATACCCCATGAAGTCACAGCCAGCCAATCAGATGCCGGCATCATTACGGGACTCCAGCCAATCACACGCACGAGTGGGCGTGTTCCTAATAAGCGGGAATGAGAGAGAGAGAGAGAGAACAAAAAAGGAACAAGCAAAAAAAAAACATATGTCCTAGGTACGTAAATGTGGGTGCTTTTTTAAAACTACTTTCAAGAACAAGCATAGACTCAAGTAGGAAGCAACAGAGCTTATGATTCTAGTTCTAGTTAATTTTCCACCTGCTTGAGAGACAGCTGGAGCCATCATAATAAACATAATTAAGGATTTAATTCTCTTTTTGGTCATTTTGTACTTAAAAGTATAAAGCATTTAATTTGACTAGTTATCTTTATTAAAACCAGCATGGAAGTTGATTCTGAGGGAAAGCGGTGCTAAAATATGGAAACTGTCATATATTATTCAGGTTTAATCATTTATACATGTGTGCATGTCAAAATCTCAAAAACATAAATCATTATTTCAAAAATTAGTCAAAATCTTAAAAACTTTGTTAGCCCCCTTTTACCCTGTTCTTCAGTGGTCAGGACCCCCATGGACCCTCAGAAAGCAGGTACTATTTGGGTGGTGGATCATTCCCAGCACTGCAGTAACACTGACGTGGTGGTGGTGTGTTAGTGTGTGTTGCGCTGGTCTGAGTGGATCAGACACAGCAGTGCTGCTGGAGTTTTTAAACACCTCAGTGTCACTGCTGGACTGAGAATAGTCCACCAACCAAAAATATCCAGCCAACAGCGTCCTGTGACCACTGATGAAGGACTAGAGGATGACCAACACAAACTGTGCAGCAGCAGATGAGCTATCGTCTCTGACTTTACATCTACAAGGTGGACTGACAAGGTAGGAGTGTCTAATAGAGTGGACAGTGAGTGGACACAGTGTTTAAACACTCCAGCAGCACTGCTGTGTCTGATCCACTCAGACCAGCACAACACACACTAACACACCACCACCACGTCAGTGTTACTGCAGCACTGAAAATCATCCACCACACAAATAGTACCTGCTCTGTGAGGGTCCATGGGGGCACTGACCACTGAAGAACGGGGTAAAAGGGACTACAGTCTGTAATTGTAGAACTACAAAGTGCACCTAAATAGTAAGTGGAGCTGATAAAATGGACAATGAGCATAGAAACAAGGAGCAAGGAGGTGGTAATAATGTTATGCCTGATCAATATATATATATATATATATATATATATATATATATATATGTATATATATATAGGGGTGCGAGAAAAAAACGATTCTTAGATGCATCGTGATGCGGACGTGAACGATTCTGAATTGATTCACAAATGTCAAAAATCGATTTTCTAAATATTTAATTTATAACGTAATGTTGACGGAACGCAAAAAGCGGAACTTGAAAGTGCGGAAGCGCAGCGCCCGGACGGTCTGTGGCGGCACATAACAAAAACACTACTGGATGAGTGAGAAATCCGACCAGCTCCCTCTGCAGTAAAAGCCAGGTTAGGTCAGGAGTCACAACCCAAATGTTAAGAAGAGCCATTTTGTCCTTTCAACAAAAATCAGACCACCTTGGGAGCCACAACATTTATGCCCAGTGTGTTTTAGTATGTGCGAATGTCCTTGTATAAGTTAGGTTAAACAATATAAACAAAAACGCGGACTTACTTTGCTCTGCTTTAAGCTTTAGCTTTAGCCGCTTTCCTCCCATTTCCGCCGGAAAACTTTTCTTCAGAAGTAGATCAGTTTCTTGTAAAATGTCTTTCAATGTTCAACTGTTTTCCGAGGCGGAAGTCGCTTCTCATTCTCCAGCTTCTTGTTTGAATTTTCCTGTTCCACCTTAAAATCTGACTGAGGCCCCGAATGTAAATGCGGCACCATTAAGGTGGAACGGAAAAATTTGAAAGAGAAGCAACTTAATCTTCGCAACTTTTTAGTGTTTGACAGTCTCTAGTTGCAGATTTAACATATCAGGAATCAACTGCGCTGCTTATAAATGCGAATAACGCATCGTTGCTATGTGACCTGCAGTCGGTTCTCAGTCGTTGCGAAACAGGGCTTTCGTGCTATGCTGCACACGTCCCGTTTTGAAGATATTTTACTGACACAGCGGACCCCCCCCTCGTCTCTACAACAAGAACAAAACCGAAGATATAAAATCACTAAAGAAAACGGGTAGGACGGCTGTAACGTGCTGCGTGGACATACATCACCACTGGATCTTATTTCACCCTAACGGCGCATTTTATCGCAGATGAGTGGCAGCAGAGTCTCATGTGCTCCAAATAATAGCAGTTAATGAGAGCCTTTTGAGTTCACTTGCCACATCACTTCCTTTTGATTTATTAATAAAAGATATTGGACGTAAATGCATTATGGATCATTACAAATAATTTGCTTTAAAAGTACCAAGTCCTCAGACAGTGAGAAAATACAAATCCTGTATAGAAAAAAAGATGCATCAAGATGCATCGATAATCATTTTATAATAGCATTGCGAATTGTAATCAATTCGAATCGTGAGGTGCCTAGAGATTCCCACCCCTAATATATATATATTATATATTTATATATATATATATATATATATATATATATATATATATATAATATATAAAGCCAATTTCCAAAAAAGTTGGGATGTAGATAAAAATAGAATGCAATGATGTGCAAATCATACAAACCATATTTTTAAAGGAAAATACTAGAAAGGTAACATATCAAATGTTGAAACTGAGAAATGTTTTTGTTTTTTGAAAAATGTATGCCCATCACCTCTTCTTCTAACAATTCTTTCGGCTTGTAGGATTGGAGAAGGATTGGAGAAGGTCAGAGAGAGTTTTGTTAGTGAGAAGAAGGATCTTAAACCGAGTACGCTACTTTATGGGAAGCCAATGGAGGTTTTGGAGAAAATGTGTTATGCGGTGATGTGACTGTGTGTAAGTGAGGAGACGAGCAGCAGAATTATGAATTGTCTGAGGTTTTGTGAAGTAATGAGGAGCTGATGGATGTAAGAAGAGAACTGCAAAGAGAATCTCCTGTACATAGCTATTCTAAAAGCTTACCAAGTTTATTAAAGTAATCATCTTATGTCTGTATGTCAGAGCATCCTTACCTGCAAATGTATTTTTTTGGCAGCCACGTCTTTTTTTAGTTTTCCTGTTTTCCCACACGACAGCTACTCTGCATAATGTGCAAAATGTTCTCAGTGGGTGACAGGTTTGGACTGCGGGCAGGCCAGTTTAGTGCCTGGATTCTTTTAATACAGAGCCATGCTGCTGCAGTACATGCAGAATGTGGTTTGACATTGTCTTGCTGCAATATCCAAGGCCTTCCCTGAAAAAGATGTTGTCTGGTGGCAGCATATGTTGCCAAACATGTATCTATTGTTCAGCACTAGTGGTGCCTTCACAGATGTGCAGGTCACCCATGCCAGGTGCACTAATGCACCCCTATACCATCATGAATACTGGCTTTTGAACTGTGCACAGATAACAATCTGAGTGGTCTTTAGCCCAGAGGAAACAGCGTCCATGATTTCAAATGTTGATTTGTCAGACAACAGGACACTTCTCCACTTACCCTTAGTCCATTCTAAATGAGCTTGGGCCCAGAGATGGCGGCAGGGTTTCGGGATCTTGTTTCTTCTTTGCATTTTAGAGTTTTATGTTGCATTTGTGGATGCAGTGACGAATTGTTTTCAATGACAGTGGTTTTCAAAAGTGTTTCTGAGCCCATGCAGTGATTTCTCTTCTCTTCTCTTCTCTGTCTTCTCTGAATCTTTTAATGACATTATGTACAGTAGATGATGAAAAGTTCTTTGCTATTTTATGTTGAGAAATGTTATTATTAATTATAAGTATTAGCATTCAACATTATAATTATTTTTTCTATTATTATTTCTATTATTTTTTGCACTATTTGCTTGTGCAGTCTTTCACAGAGTGGTGAACTCCTCCTCATCTTTACTTCTGAAAGACTCAGCCTCTCTGAGATGCTCTTTTTATACTCAATCACATTACTGACCTGTTGCCACCAACCACCAGGTGTTTTTTTTGCACTACACAGCCTTTTATTGCCCCCATCCAAACTTTTTTGGAATGTGTTGTTTGCATCAAATTCAAAATGGGCATATATTTTTCCAAAAACAATAAAATTTCTCTGTTTCAACATTAGATATGTTGTCTTTGTACTATTTTCAATTAAATATTGGGTTTAAATGATTCATGCAATTATTGCATTTTTTTTATTTACATTTTGCACAGCATCCAAACATTTTTGGAATACATATATAGAAACACATAGTTTTGAGATTTTTTTTAAAGTTTTTTTAATGTGTTCTTGAGAAAGGTCCTAAGACAAAACATGTTCACACAAACACATATAACCTCATACACAAAGGCTTAACTACCAGAATGCTTCAAGAAAATCAGCAGCTGAGAGAGAGAGAGAGAGAGAGAGAGAGAGAGAGAGAGAGAGAGAGAGAAAGAGAGAGAGCGGTTGTACTGTACTGTGTGACTCCCGGTTATCTTAATGACTGAATCATAAAGTAAATAAAGAGATTGTGGTTTAAGTGATCAAAGGTCATATTTAAAGAAGGGGCAGGGACTGTCTAACTGATATTACACTTCATCCACATGTTGTTCAAGATTCAGCAACAGTAAAGAGAGTTTTTCAGGTGAAATGTAAAGATATTCTGTGGATCATTCTGGAAGAATCTGCACACCTGAACTGTGTGTGAAACAGAAGAACAGCAAGTCGTCATTACTCACCAGTGGACTTTCACAAGCTGAGTTTACAGTTTTCACTCAGAATAGACTTTTCACTCAGATCACACTTGTTAAGCCAGGTAGTTTAGGAGAGAGTTGTGATTGGTCCAGTACAACATGACTCCACCCTCTTCACCCTGTAAAACACCTTCCAGCACTTCATCCTGTGGTGGAGAACTAATCTAGTCCAAAACAGTTTACAGTGAAAGTGAAATCTTCAGCAGCTTCTGTTTAGTGAAGAGAAGATCATAAACAGAGAGAAAATAGCTCAGAGGTAATTACTGAAGATCAACACACAGAATTTACTTTCTGACTTGATGATTAAAGACATTTCAGACACAGAGAGAGCAGAACATCACTGTGGAACTCAGAGACAGAACTATATTTCAGAGAACAGCTTTCAGATGAAGTTAACATGGAGACTTCACTACTTCTGTGTGTGTGTTTACAGGATTAGGTCTAATCTGAAAGAGGAGCCATGACCTCCAAAATAAGCTTCTCTGAGGAGCAGCACTCACAGAAAGCTGAGAGGTGAGAGAATCATGGGATTTGGGGTAAAGACTGTATGTTCTGGACAGCAAGGAAATAAATGTAATTTGTTACTGTACTTAAGTAGTTTTTTCATGTATCTGTACTTAAGTATTTTGGACGACTTTTTACTTTCACTCCACTACATTTCGGAGTGAAATATCCTACTTTTTACTCCACTACATTATGGCTTATGTGTGTATAAAAACGTAACATTTTTCAAACTCAAAACAAAAGAAGCGTGAAGCAAGCACACCAATCAGGGTACAGCACACACTGTTTGGAGCTTGTATTGACCTATTGGATATACTGACCCAGTGCAAGCATACAGTTGAATGACGGCATTTTAGGGCCAGCGTTCATAAAAATAATAACAGTAGACTTCGAGAATAAAGTCGTAATATTAAGAGAAAAAAGCTGTTATATTTTGAGAATAAAGTTGTGATATTTTGAGAAAAAAAAGTTGTAATATTTTGAGAACAATATTTGGACGATGAAGTGGGTTAACTGTAGGGGGGCTACCATAACGCGTTGGGGTCTCAATTGCTGTACTGGTGCGCTGGAGCTCCACACACTCAGGTCTTCTTGTGGAACAATCATTTTGACTATCATTAACACTGTCTGTGAAACTACATGCTCTCTTTTAATGGCAAGGAGATGTAGACACTGATAGCCATGTAGACCACCCTGCCTGAGATTCTCCTTCAACAAAACAGACACACAGTTTCCTCCGAGTCCGTCTGGCTCTTTATTCTAAATAAACACAGTTTCCTGCTCAGCCGTTTCAGCCGTTTCTTATACTGATAACAGGCTGGTGCTGGTGTGTCAGGAGAGACAGGGAGACTGAGTATTTCTTTATGGGTGAAACTCCACCACCTCCTCAGTACCCCTAATTTTAACACAAGGAGGTTCTGCCTTCCATTTGCAAAGCATTTGGCCACAATATTGCGAACTTTCCTGGTATTAATGGCACTTTAATGTCGTAATTCTACAACTTTTTTTCTCAAAATATTATAACTTTATTCTTGAAGTCTGCTGTTTTTATTTTTATTAACAGTGGCTCTAAAATGATGTCATACAGTTCTATGTCAGTGCAGCAGTGGTGGAACTAACCTAACTTTGTGTAAATAGACCACAATATAGAAATATGTATACATATGCAGTTGTGACTGATGTGTCTTTTTTCTAAATTTATGCAAAAACATTTTTAAATCATTTTTTTTTGCTAGTTTATGTTTATGAACAGTGATGTACAAATGCAATATAGAAAAGGAAAACTCATTGGTGAAACTGTGTTTAAAACAAGTTTTTATTAAACTTCAACTTGTAACTAAGTTGCAAATAAATCTTAAACTGAAACTAAGTTATTTCAGAGCCACTTGATTCTATGTAATGGAAACTGCCTTCAGTGTTTAGTGTTTATGATCATTTTAATAGACATCAGCATGAGACTAATTAATGACATTCTAATAAAAGATTGGTTTATCAAGAGTGTCACTAGAGGATTTTCACCTAAAATGAGTTAATGAAGCGAGTCTTGTTACAAAAATGAGAATAGGACATTAGAGTCATAATTAATCTTTTAGTACTTTTACTTTTCGTACAGTTGAAGGCATTACTTTTGTACCTTTACTCATGTAGAGGTCTAAAGGGAGGAACTTCTACTTTTACTGGAGTAATATTTTACCTTGGGTGTCTCTACTTTAACTCAAGCACATGATTTTTGTACTTCGTCCACCACTGCATCTACACCAACATGCAGGAACATTTGTAGATCATGTCTGATATTGGTTGTGTTCTAGACTGGTTCAGGATCAGAGATCTGACTCACCTGAACCCAGCTGTGTGTCCATGAAGAGTGACCAGTCAATGGACAAAGATATGAACTTCAGAGAGGAAAACAGTTCATCTGAGCTGAGGTAAGGATGATGTGACATGAAGAATGAGATGAAAAAATACTTCTTTTTTTGCTAACAAAGGTTTCGCTATTTGGTTTGTTTTACCTGATCGCAGCTATGTGTCCATGGAGAGTGATCAGTCAATGGATTTTCCAAAAAATTTCAGAGAGGACGACAGATCTACTGATCTGAGGTAAAGACAGTTTTAAGTATGAATGGTGCAGTAAAATATTCCTTACTTCCAGTCCCTACCTGATTAATCTCAGCAGGTGAGAGGTGAGTTACAGCAGGAGAACACTAAACTGTGCAGTGCTGTGACTCTACAGAACCTGGAGTGAAGAACACTGGATTAGGGGATTAAATTAAAGATCTAATACTGAGTGTTCATTTATAAAGTTTCAGCTGCTGCTAACATTCATTATATATATCTAATATATCTACACAGTGAATGGAACTGAATTTTAAATGAATATGTTGTAACATATGAAAGTGTGTTTATTGAGCGGTTCACAATACACGACTGATAATCTTATGTTTTCTAACAGAGTCCAGAAGAACTCAGATATTACCAGGAGAAACATGGAGATCATATTCAAGGTGTGTGTGTGTGTGTGTGTGTGTGTGTGTGTGTGTGATATACATTAAATATACTGTATGTAGTAAGATCATACATTATATTTGACAACTGGGTTTTCAATCAGACTGATGTTTCAGTTTAGAGCAGGTTTGTTATTTCAGAATAACAACTATTTACTCTGTTTTTCTTTTCTGTCAGTGATATCTTGTTTAACTGATGGTAATGAGCAGCAATTCTAGATTTATTATATAATATGATAAAATATAAATCATTAAATATATCTGATCACAACTGGGACTCTTAAAGGGTTTTATGAAAAAAAAATGCAAAGAGAAACCTCTATTCCTCAGATGAATTGTAGATAATATACTGTAACTATCATGCCTTTTATTAAATATAAACAACAGTAAACTAATAATAATAATAATAATAATAATAATAGCAATAATGTAGACTCCCTCACTCTGGTAACAGGATCCTGTTTCTGTACCTTTGTGTCCTTAATCAGGAGCTGGAGCACAAAGTCATCTCTCTGGTGAAGAATCAGCTGAAGAGGTTTGTGAAGCTGCTGAGTCTGGATTACCCAGAATGCTCTGAGAGAGAGGTGGAGGATGAGGAGGATCAGAGCAGTGTCAGAGAGGGGGCGCTGAAGATCACACTGACCGTCCTGAGGAACATGAACCAGACTGACCTCGCTAACACACTACAGAGCAGTAAGACATCAGGGTCATGTGATTATTCATCATATTAATATCACAAGTTTAAATGATCAGAATAATGTAATATTAATAATATTCATCACAGAACCATTACCTTTTGCTTATTGGGTGTTTTTGTTTGATGTCACTATAAGGTGTCATAATGTGTTTGATGTAATGCTGAAACTAAATGTTAGTATTTCAATAGTGTTGTTATTGTTATTGTTTCCTCTTTTTATCAGAAATGGCTCCTTCTTCTCATCAAAAGCTGAAATCAACACTGCAGAGAAAAGTTCAGAAAATTAATGAAGGAATCTCAAATTTTGGAACCTCAACCCTTCTGAGTGAGATCTACACAGAGCTCTACGTCACAGAGGGAGGGAGTGGAGAGGTCAATAATGAACATGAGGTCAGACAGATTGAAACAGCATCCAGAAGACCAGCAACACAGGAGAAACCCATCAAATGTAATGACCTCTTTAAAGACAATACCATCAGAACTGTGCTGACTAAAGGAGTTGCTGGAATTGGAAAAACAGTGTCTGTGCAGAAGTTCATTCTGGACTGGGCTGAAGGAAAAGCAAATCAGGACGTCCTCTTCATATTTCCACTTCCTTTTAGGGAGCTGAACTTTATGAAGGAGAAAGAACTCAGTCTGGTGGATCTTCTTCATATTTTTTTCTCAGACACAAAAGAACTAAAACCAAGAGACTATGATCACTACAAAGTCATGTTCATCTTTGATGGTCTGGATGAGTGTCGACTTCCTCTAAATTTCCAGAACAATGAGAGCTTATTTGATGTAACACAATCAGCCTCAGTGGATGTGCTGCTGACGAACCTCATCAAGGGGAATCTGCTTCCCTCTGCTCTCCTCTGGATAACTACTCGACCAGCAGCAGCCAATCAGATCCCTCCTGAGTGTGTTGACCAGGTAACAGAGGTACGAGGGTTCAGCGACCCTCAGAAAGAGGAGTACTTCAGGAAGAGAATCAGTGACCAGAGCCTGGCCAGTAAAATCATCTCCCACATGAAGTCCTCAAGAAGCCTCTACATCATGTGCCACATCCCAGTCTTCTGTTGGATTGCAGCCACTGTTCTAGAGAGACTGTTGGGTGGAGCAGAGAGTGGAGAGACCCCCAAGACTCTGACTCAAATGTTCACCCACTTCCTGATCTTTCAGATCAAACACAAGGACAAAAAGTACCATGGGAAATGTGACACTGATCCTCAGCAGACTAGAAAGATGATTCTGGCACTGGGAAAACTGGCTTTCCAACAGCTGGAAAAAGGCAATCTGATCTTCTATGAGGAAGACCTGAGAGAGTGTGGCATTGATGTCAGAGAAGTGTCAGTGTACTCAGGAGTCTGCACTCAGATCTTCAGAGAGGAGTTTGGGCTGCACCTGGGGAAGGTGTTCAGCTTTGTGCACCTGAGTGTTCAGGAGTTTCTGGCTGCTTTATACTCATTTCTTGTCTTCATCAGCGGCGATGGAACAAAACAGCTGACCACTGATCTCTCTGGTATTTTCAGAGAGTCCAAATTATCAGATTTACTCAAGTCTGCAGTGAAGAAGGCCTTACAGAGTGAGAATGGACACCTGGACCTTTTCCTCCGCTTCCTTCTGGGCCTCTCACTGGAGTCCAATCAGACTCTCTTACGAGGCCTACTGACACAGATAGGAAGCAGCTCTAACAGCAAAGAGGAAATAGTCCAGTACATCAAGGAGAAGATCAGGGAGAATCCCTCTCCAGAGAAAACAATCAGTCTGTTCCACTGTCTGAATGAACTGAATGATCATTCTCTGGAGCAGGAAGTCCAATCATACCTGAACAGAGGAAGTTCCAGTGGATTCAGTGGAGCTAAACTCTCTCCTGCTCAGTGGTCAGCTGTGGCAATTGTTTTGCTGAATTCAGACGAGGAGCTGGATGAGTTTGACCTGAGGAAATATGATCCATCAGAGAAATGTCTTCTGAGGCTGCTGCCAGTGGTCAAAGCATCCAGAAAAGCTGTGTGAGTATTTTCATTCATAAATGTTGTACTTTGCCCTATTTAATATAAATCAAAAATAGTACATTCGATTTTTAGATATTTTGATGTTTTTTTCTCTCTTTACATCTTTGTCTTCATTCATGAGTTATATAACCTCATTAGAGCCAATTTTTTCATATATTTTATTGTTATCATTTATGATGTACAATGTTGCATGATGTACCATGCAATAAGATTTTTTTTTACATTTTTTACATGACTGTACCTCATGGAAAAATTCTTTACACATTTCACACATGATGACATCACATCATTTGTCAATCATTTTGACATTTACTGGTTCTATAACTACTGTATACATATATCATATGTTATAATAACCTTACATTGACAGTGACTTGTATTTAATGTTTCAGAAACTGCAATGCATTAAATTCTATTAAAAAGACTAATTTTGCTCTGTCCATAATGAAACCTGCAGTTAGTCAGATTTCTTTAAACATTGACGATATCCTCAATATGCTTCCAAACGCAAATGGTGAAAAAAAATATCTTGATAACAAGAAAATCTCATCATATTGCTCTCCACTTCTCTTATCTTATAGTTTGTTAATTATATCTAATGGTTTCTTGATAATTATTTAATAGTTGTATATGCATTGGTATCAAAATTACTCACCATTAATTAATTCACCTAAGAATAATTTTTCATTGATTCTCACAACTCAAATTATATAAGCTGAAATATTAAGCATTTACTTGCGTAAAAGCAATATTGAGTGAATAATTCCTGTCCTGGTTTACATGTTTTTAAATGACTTTTATTTTCTGATGCACAACCTTTTCCTTAATGGTTAGCTAGTCCTCATGAAATTGATTATGTATGCTATTTGAAAATGATTAAAAATTACTTTAACCCTGATATAAAGTTCCAATAGATTTTGTATGTATAAACATGCCATAGTACCTAATGCATTAAAATACAGTTATAAGCATTTACAATACTTTTATTATTACTCTTTAGGAAAATATTTAATGATTAATTTGTACCATTTATTAATGCACAAGTAAAAGAGATATAATTATTAACTTTGATTATCAAAATACATCAGAATAATTAAGTTCCTATTTATCAGGGTCTTTTTTTATAAAATATTACAAAAATATATCTTGCCCTTGCTGCCTTTCTATAGAATCAAGAATTTGTTATTTTATTTAACTCAAAATAGTCTCAAAATCATCTACCATGTAAATGTACCAGTGCATTTTAGGTTAAACTGACTAAACATGGTTTGAAGCATAAATCACTTCCATATTATTAAAATTTGGAAATTTGGAAATGTGGAAAACATCCTGTGTGGTGCCAGTGCCAAAGACCCCACACCCCAAAGACCTCAACAGCTATAGGCCGGTGGCGCTGACATCTCACCTGATGAAGACCCTGGAGAGACTGCTTCTTGTCCACCTGCGCCCCCTGGTGAGCTCTTCAATGGACCCACTGCAGTTTGCCTACCAACCTGGCATTGGAGTGGAGGATGCCATCATCCACCTCCTACACAGCTCTCTCTCTCACCTGGAGAATGCTGGGAGCACTGTGAGAATCATATTTTTTGATTTCTCCAGTGCTTTCAATACCATCAAACCCACACTGCTAAAGGACAAGCTGGAGTGCACGGGCCTGGACCATCACCTCACCACCTGGATCCTGGACTACCTCACTAACCGACCGCAATATGTGAGGACCCAGGGCTGTCAGTCGGACACGGTGGTCTGCAGCACGGGGGCTCCACAGGGAACTGTCCTCGCTCCCTTTCTCTTCACCCTCTACACTGCGGACTTCAAGTACAGCTCTGCCAGTTGTCACCTGCAAAAGTTCTCTGACGACTCTGCTATCGTCGGCCTCATCACAGACAGAGATGACAGGGAGTACAGAGAACTGACGCAGGACTTTGTGGAATGGTGCCAGAGGAACTGCCTGCAGATCAACGCAGGAAAAACCAAGGAGCTGGTGGTGGACTTCCGCAAGTCCAAACATTCTCCTCCAGTGCCTGTGAACATCCAGGGAATGGACATTGAGATTGTGAAGTCCTATAAGTACCTGGGTGTTCACCTCAACAACAAGCTGGATTGGACTGACAACACAGCTGCCCTCTACAGGAAAGGCCAGAGCAGGCTACATCTCCTGAGGAGACTCAGGTCCTTTGGCGTGCAGGGGGCACTTCTCAGGACCTTCTTCGACACTGTGGTGGCATCAGCCATTTTTTATGGAGTGGTGTGCTGGGGTAGCAGCATCTCCATTGCTGACAGGAAGAGACTGATTAAGATCATCAGGAAGTCCAGCTCTGTCCTGGGATGTCCTCTTGACCCAGTGGAGGTGGTGGGGGACAGGAGAATGAGGACTAAACTAACAAACATGCTGAAGAACCTGTCCCACCCCATGCACCGCTCTCTGACAGCACTGAGCAGCTCCTTCAGTGCCCGGCTGCGGCGCCCGCGGTACGTGAAGGAGAGATACCACAGGTCCTTCCTCCCAGCCGCTGTCAGACTCTATAACAGTCACGGCACTCAGTAGACAGTAGTTTACATTTACTTTACATGTGCAAGAACTCTCAACATCACTGCCACAGCACTTTACTGTGTGCAATATCTCAATCCACCATGCGTAGTATATTCACTGCGGATCACTGTCAATATGTTCACCACCATTATGTGCAATTATGTCAAGTGCAATATTTCTCCATTTATTACTGTTTATTTATTTGCTATTTTATTCACTGTGCAATACTCACTACAATACATACATTTCTACATTTCTAAATTTAAATGTAATACTTTGTATATTTTTCTTGTAATTTTTGTACATATACATATATCTTTATATTTTATTGTTTATTCTATTTTATATATTGTTTGTATATTTCCTGCTGCTCTGTCTTCTGTGCTGCTGTAACACTGCAAATTTCCCCGTTGTGGGATTAATAAAGGATTATCTTATCTTATCTTATCTTATTTATTGATGTTATGTGTTAAAGATCTGAGTAAGAACCCAGTCGCTGAACTCATCAGCAAGTGAAAATCAAACCAGTTTACAAACATACAATGTACTTATTTCTAAATGTAAAGATAAAGTAACACACAGATAGCAGCATCATTCCATTTTAATTCTCCAGATTTAAACTGTACCATGTGTTGTATTTATTCTGTCTTTACAGACTAGTTGGCTGTAATCTCACAACAGCATCTTGTGAAAAACTGTCATCAGCTCTACAATCAATAAACTCCTCCCTGACTGAGCTGGACCTCAGTAACAATGACCTGCAGGACTCAGGAGTGGAACTGCTGTCTGCTGGACTGAAAAGTTCACACTGTATACTGGGGACACTCAGGTGAGCTTTCTGTAAATTAGATCTTTAATGCAAAAAAAGCTCTTATGTTCTATGTATTTCTGATATTGTAGATGATATGATAGCATAATGATAACAAATTGTACTAGCCTAAAATATAAATGCTAGTCTTCTAATTTTAATATATAGTAAGTTAGTAATTGTAGTGGGTACTATTTGGAAATAAAATGAAACAAATGGTAACAAACCTTATTTACCGATAAAATGTTACATTTCTCATTATGCAGCAAAATTAACTAGTAACTATTACAGTAAAGTGAACAGATATTTTTATTTTTCACATTTTTTGTTAATTTTACATGAATATTAACTTTAACTAACAAACAATTACATAATAATTAAGTTTTTATCTAAAGGAGCTTGTTATTGTAAAATGTTACCAAAATGCATCTTTGTCCCGCTGCCTCACTGTAGAATCAAGATCAGAGACAATCCAAGCATATTTTAATGGATTAGGTACCTGCTATATTAAAGGAATGATTTTCAAAAAAGCTGATTTACTTTTTTTGTTACTTTAAATTATCATTCAAGGTGTATGGATGTTTATGTAATTTTTTATATATTACTATAATTGATATCAATTAACATTTATTGAAAAATATATGCATGAACTTTGTTTTCCAAAACTACTGCACACAAAGTAACAGTTCAAATTGATTACATAATATGCAAAGTTATTGATTAATTAAATTTTTGTTAAATAAAATATTTTAATGAGTTGTAAATCAAGTTACAAACATCCATTTTTTTATTTCTAAATGCAAAAAGTAACACATGGAGGGTAACATCACTCCATATTAATTCCCCTGATTGAAACTGTGCCATATGCTGTTTTTTTGTCTTGATAGACTAGCTGGCTGTTATCTCACAGCAGCATCTTGTAAAATACTATCATCAGCTCTACAATCAGTAAACTCCTCCCTGATAGAGCTGGATCTCAGCAACAATGACCTGCAGGATTTAGGAATAGCGCTGCTCTCTGCTGGTCTGAAGAGTTCACACTGTAAACTAGAGACACTCAGGTGAGCTTTCTGTAACAATACATTTTCTCAGTTTCAACATTTGATAAGTTGTCCTTTAAGCATTTTCAATTAAATATAAGGTTTAAATGATTTGCATTTTTCATAGCATCCCAACTTGTTTGGAAATGGGGTTGTACAATAACTATAATATACAACAAATCATTCCTAGTTCCTTAAACCCCTTTTTCACTGGTTTTCCTGTCTGTGCTTGGCTCAGCACTCTAATTACCATAAATAAAATGTTTATTTTCTATCTATATAAAATAATTCATTATTAAATATTACAGCACAGTCAGTAAATCTGTTTGTTTTTTACACTTATAGGGAAATAGGGATATAAGTTCCAGCTCTCATTGCATAATATCTGCGTAATCAAGATAACAGCCCAATTCTTTTAAATTGTTATTGGTATTTATAATATTAGTGTTATTATATGAAAACAATGAGTTCTGCTTAAATTATGTATAGTTAGTATTGTAAAATACTTTGTTTCTTACTTGTTCTTACTTTAAACGGTCAAGCACAGTGTAAGGTACAGTGACATTAAAATGCTATTACAGCTGCAAATGTTTTTTTAGTTACTGCATCTCACATCAGAAGATCTGGAGTTCTTCCAAATAATGTGGGTAACTGCACTGAAATTATGACTGCAATTATCATGCTGGGATATGCTACATAACATGTTCCTAAATTGTAAAACACTTTTACTCCATTAAAATGTAATTAATTTATAAACAATTAATAAATGAGATATTAATCTTGTTAAATTCTTAACAAGGTTCCAGGTTGTTACTATTATCATATATACAATATATATCAAGATAAAACAAAACTAAAGATACAATTATAAACCCTATCCTTCACAAAAATGAACAATATAAACATAAAGAAAAAACAAAGAAGTAATGCACATGAAATATTGCACAAAAAGTATGATTATAATTCACACAGGTATGGTGATAAATTCACCATTAATTTCTGTAGGTGTGTGAGCTCTGTGATTGCAGTGCTGGTTGTACAGCCTAACAGCAGCAGGAAGGAAAGACCTGCGATAGCGCTCCATGACACACTTGGGGTGAAGCAGCCTGTCACTGAAGGAGCTGCCCAGTGCTGTCCTGTTCTCCAACATAGATGCAAGTTTAGCTAGCATCTTTCTGTCTCACACCACCTGCACTGGGTCTAGGAGGCTTTCCAGGACTGAGCTGGCCCTCTTAATGAGTTTGTCAAGTCTTTTCCTGTCTGCAGTTGAGATGCTGCTGCCCCAGCAGCAAGATGGCTAATGCCACTACAGTGTTGATAAAAGTCCTCAGGAGTGTCCCCTACACTCCAAACGACCTCAGTCTCCTAAGCAGGTAGAGTCTGCTCTGGCCTTTCTTGTAAATTGCACAAATGTTATCTGACTAGTCCAGTGTATTGTTTAGGTGAAAACTCAGGTTCTTTTAAGAGACCACTCTCTCAATGAGATTATTTTAAGACATTTTCAGACCCCACTGACGTTTTTCTGCAGCTGTTCCTCCATCTTCATCCTGTAGCTAGCTTTCCCCTCTCAGATTTTCCTTCTCAGATTGGATGGAGAAACATGGTTAAAGTCTCCAGAGATCAGTATTAGGGTCTGTGGGTGCTGTGTCTGCAGCCTGGTCACAGCTGCATGCAAGATGTCCTTGCAGTAGATTTGCTCCTTAACAGTAAGGTGCCCAGAGTTACACCATCTATCATCTACCTCCTCTTTTCCTCTTAACACTCTCTGACGTCCTGTCTGCTCATATGAGCTGGAAGCCGCCCAAAGTGTCGACTGTGTCCAGAGTTAGCGTAGATAGCCATGACTCGGTCAACAGCATAACAATACTATTGCAGTACTCCCTCTGATATGTCCATCTTATTGGGAAGAGATCTTACATTTCCCATAACAACTGAGGGAAGAACAGGTCTACAACATCTTTTTCTGGCATGACACAGAACTCGGGTCTTATGTTCGGCAGCACCACTGTGTTTCTTAGCACTAAGAGCTGATCCCTACTGTAAACAATTGGGCTCCTTACAAGATCTTGTAAAAAAAAAACATTGGAAAAAAGTAAAGCAAGGACCAGAGCAAACTCTACAAGTTTGGTGTCCATAGTGCAAAAAATATTTTGGCAAGACAATAAAAAATGATTACTTACAAAAAGAAAAGGAGAAAAGTACAAAAGGTAAGCAAAAAGCTCAAAGGGAGCCAAAGCTGCTGCATCATCTTCGAATAGACCTAGACAAATAATAGGACATTATAAAGCCCAGATCTAGTAAACGGCACAGATATTAGTTCAGTATCACACCACAGCATCCAACATGTTCAGAGTTATTTATCTTACTTACTAGCAACAAAAAATAAGTCAGTACAACTTGTTACCATTATTTTACCTTTAGAGACTTCAAACCACTGTAAGTAATAATTTATTATTCAGTAATACTTTATAATAATGTAATTAATGTAATGCTTAAAAGAATGTAGTAAATGTAACGTCATTTGTAGGGGAAATACACCTTACAGTAGTATTACTATATCATTACACATTTAATACCATCTTATCTACTTATTTGATATACTACCAGTAATTCTGAATATTAATATGGGAATAATCCCATAATCTCCCTTACCCAGCAGCAGTTCATAGTCTTTTACTTAGACAAACCATAAACATAGTATTTTACATTTATGTCCTAATTAATATAAAGATTTGCAAAGTGTTCATCAGGATGTGTTAGGTAGCTTCTCATCTACCCTGGTGTTTCATATCCCTCGATTCTTCAGCAACATATCTAGATGTAAACTCTTTTATTTTCATTTGTTGCTGCTTGAAACTTTTTTTCTTATTTGCTTCAATTGATTCTTTTTTTCCCTGATCTGTATCCTCTGGATGTAATATATAGGCAGATCTAACAAATAGGAAAGAAAGTTTCATTGAGCTCTTCAGATGCCGCCCTAGTGTGCTGACATATGCTGAGCAGAAGTAGCGCTAATTTTACCAGAACTATTGGTGAAGCAAGGCATGATGGACAGGTCTAAAATTACCTATAGCTAAAGCATTAAGGAAATAAGTTTGCAGCCAATAACAATGGCAATAACTGCATTTCATAAATACTGGTATGTAGTATCTAATTCAACTCCATCCTCTGGAACTGCCGCCTCAAACCAATGTTTATTCTAGCATCTTACTTACCTGCCTTATTACCCCACTTATCGGACTGTTACCTCACTGATCCCTTTCTCTGCCACTATACACCCTGCTGCTGCACTCAGCACTTTAACTGTAGACCCATACTTTGCACAATGTAAGGTTTACAGGTATGACTGTGTTTGTGTGTGTTTGAGTGAGTGATGGTAGGAATGCATGTTTTATTTTATTTTATTTTGTTATATTTTATATTTATTTTATTCACTACATGTAAATGTCTGTCTGGTACTGTGCACTGTGAGCTCCTGTAACCAAAACCAAATTCCTTGTATGCGTAAGCATAACTGGCCAATAAAGCTTCCAATAAAGATTCTGATTCTGATTGTGACAACCCTAAGAGGAAACTCTATGCGAAGACATTGTTGCAAAGCCAAGGCTAAAGCTAAAGATTCCCCACATAAGCACCACTCTTCTCCCATTCTCCCATGTCCAACAGGTTTGGCCCACTCAGTGAGACACCTTCTGAGGTACTTGTTGAAAGGGTTCTGGTAATAGATGATTCTATTTTAGGGCATGGGAAAATAGCTTCTCTTTTAGGGGTGCCAGTAGCAGTTAGCTGTATACCGGGAGCCAGAGTGTCAGGTATTATCCTGAAGGTACAATGAATCCTGAGGGATCCTGAAGCTCTTAGCTAACTGTAGGTTTTCTAGGATAGTTAATCATATAAGTACTAATGACATCCATCTGTGGCAGTCAGAAATTACTAAACATGGCATTACAGAGGTGCATATATTATCTGAGACAATGTCGTATATGCCATAATATGCACTAGCCTCAAATCTACAGCAGGTTATGACTTCTAAACTGCTGGTTGTCCATGTGGTGCTCAGAAAAAAAGAGATATGTGGACAATTGGTCTACTTTTGAGGGCAAGCCTGGTCTTTTGAGTTGGGACGGTATCCACCCCTTGCTGGAGGTTGCTCCACATTTTTCTTGTAGCATAGCTCACATTCTTTTCAGCAGCCATCAGTGTAGGGTGGTCAGTTGTTGACAAACCAGGGCCAAGACCAGACAGCAGACAGACTGGCTTAACTTATCTTCTAGCTGCATTGAGATGCCACATAGGTTTCATTTAGTTGGGATGATGTCTGTTCCCTGAATCAAAAAAAAATAAATAAATTTGAAATCCTCAAAAAGTTTGTACTACTAATTTGATCAGTATCACATTAGTTAGAAAATTGCAATAACAGCACATTTAGTCTAAAACCAGGACTGCTTAACAATATATCTATTAAATCTAAATCCATCATTGTAAAGTACATAATCATTGATCATGATTTTGATGCTCTATGCCTCACAGAAACATGAATTACCTAAATTCTCCTTTTCAATTACAGGCTGGATTCTTTTTAAATTTGTTCGATCGTCAATAACTGTACATTAATTGAAAAATCGTATCCTTCTTGTGCTCTGTTCATATTGCTCTTTTTGTGTGATTGTTTTGCTATCTAGTGTAGACACAAAGAGCATGGGTTCCACTTTTGAATTTTGGCTCCTTATAAGGTTTCTTCCTCTTTCTTTTAGGCAGAGCTTTCTTGCTAATGTAGCCTTTGGTGATGCTCATTGGGACTTGATTAGTAAAATGTCAATCTGTTGAGTCAGTTAATTGTTTTCATTCCATCCTGTTCGATTTCAGAGTGTCGATGTATATTTCACAGAATTTGGAGCTTGCTGTGTTTGTTATATACTGCAATTGGTTTATAGCTCTATATAAATGCCATCTGTTCCTTTTTTTCCTTCCTTTCTTCAGATTATCTGGATGTATGGTTAGAGTTAAAGGCTGTTATTATCTGGCTTTGGCTCTAAACTCAAACCCCTCCAACCTGAGAGAACTGGATCTGACCTATAATCACCCAGAAGAGTCTGGAATTAAGCTGCTTTCTGATCTACTGGAGGATCCACACTGTAAACTGGAGAAACTACAGTGAGTTACTGATTTACTGTCTCTAAACACAGACCGACTGTTATTATACGCATTACACACTTTACTCTCTGTAGTGTTTTACTGTAGATGTGTTTGTTTTCATGGTGTGGTGGTGAACTGTGATGGGTTCAGTAAGGACGCCCCATCACCAAGTCTGTGAAAGGACACTGGGGCATGAAAAGGGACAATTACTGTTGGGTTGAAGCCTAGGTGAAATTAAAATGTGCACATAAGACATACTTACCTTGTTCTTGTTCTGTCCTGATTCTCAGGGGAGTGCTTCCAGGGCTTCCCTTTTACTGGCCGGTAGAGCCCATGGCTGTGTGTAGAAGGGGGGGAGGTGGGATCCGGGAACATTTAGGGAAAGACAGAAAGAGTTAACATAATAAATCAATATGAATGAATGTACTTATGGGATAAAAAAAAATAAGTTTCTTGTTATTAGTTTTATGTATATTGTGTTTACTGTGCTAAAGTGTTTTGTTATTGTTTGTGTCGTGTAACCCCTCACTAGCCCTGGGGGATGGTTTAGTCTAACTAGATGGGGGCAGGGCTACGGTTTTAAATGGAGGGGGTTTATTCAGGAGGGGAGAGGGAATGTAGGCCTCTGGCAGAAACTGACTGATGTTTTAGTCAGAAATGTCTAGGTCTGACTGCATGAGTGATTAGAAGTAGTCTGCTGTGTCCTGGCCACATTAGTTGCATTGCAGCCCATTTGTTTTGTGTTTATCCAGTCTTTTCTTTCACTTTTCACTTGTTTGTGTGCAAAATAAATGTGTGTGCCAAGTCAAACTCTGGAGTTCAGCCTAATCTTTTCGAGGGGAACCCTGTCCTCTACACCATCATGCTACATGTAAAACAGTGCAGCCTTGCAATCTCTACATCTTAACATTCCCACATGAACTGTTAGTCTTTTAAACGTCTGTGTAAATAGCATAATCAATGCTCAGTAGGTTTGGAAGGGTCTTATGAGATTCAGTGTGAAAACAGTAAGGAGACTACACAATCAGGAGCGACTAATTCACAGCTGACGTCGGAGTAATTAACAGATTAGGTTCATAAAATGCAAACCCACTGGTTTGGATCACTTGTAATGGTGCTAGCTGAAATAGCTGCTTGATTTACACTATAAGCCAACTTAGCGATTAAATTAATGCTAATGTTAGTGCAAAGTTGTTGGGTTACCTGGTCACAATGCTACATCCAGCATGAGAAAAGTCACTGTTTACTAGCACACTGATGGCATAATGTAATTAACGTAACAATTTAATTAATATATCAGCAGGTACATCAGGCTGTATTATGTGTGGTTAACAGTATAAGTGGCCAACCTTCTCATTAGCTGGAGTATGACAGAGACAGACTTTTATTATATGTATTTTTAACATTTAACAAATTTTTCAGTAATCAATGAGGACTGAGAAGCAAGGGACTCATAGAGACAAGCACAGAGAGAGAGAGAAAGAGAGAGAGAAGTAGCATGGAAACTGGAATCATAATAATAATAATAATAATAATAATAATAATAATAATAATGGATCATTTCATTGAAAGTAGGAATCAATACAATACATACAATCTGTATGAAATAATGACTATGAAATAATGATTATTATTAACTATTAAAAAACATTGTTAAATATAATCATGATGTAAACTAGATAACAAGACTACGACTGTAATCTAGAGCTAGGAGGGGCAGCGATGTGATCTAGAGCTAAATAGCATAGCAGTGTGATGTGGAGCTAACTAGCCTAGAAGAGTGATCAAGAGATAACTACTGGAGCAGTGTGATCTAGAGTGAACTAGCAAACTGTAAACCTGTAATAGAGCTGAAGGTCTTAAATATCTAAAGTTAGTTCACTGTATTAATGTGAAGACGGTGATTTGGAGCTGCAGTGTTCTGTAAACTGGTAATGGAGCTAAAGCACTTAAATATCTAAGATTAGTTCGCTGTATTAATGTGAAGACGGTGATTTGGAGCTGTAGTGCTCTGTAAACTGGTAATGGAGCTAAAGTGACAACGACTGATTCGGTAGAAAAGCTGAAATAACAGCTTCATAACCTCCAGAATGTAACGACCAACTATGTCATTCAACTTTATTCATTTTTGTAGTGATTAAACATGACAATCTATCAGCATCTCACAGCAGCAGCAACTCAGAACTGCAGCTCTAAGTACAGACAGTCTGTATTACCAGCTCCAGTAACAATAATAAGAATAACAACAATAATAATAATAATAATAACAATAATAATAATAACAATAATAATAATGGGCTTAATGATAAGCAGTGATTTTAGCTTTATCTGGACTGCAAGGTGTAAAGGGTGTTTTATACTGTCATGATTTGTTTTATTCTTTAATTTAGTTTTGATTCTAGATGAAGTTTGATGATTATATGAATGTGTGTGTTTGTTCTTCAGGGTGGATCATGGAGGGAAGATCAGGATCAAACCAGGACTGAAGAAATGTAACACACACATGCACATAAACTAAACACTCTCACACACTGTACACACACACACATACACGCACATACACATCATATATGCATTATAGGCAAACAGCACACACTATTCACATGTAAAACACTATAAACACACAAGCACTGCTTTTTATATTCCTCTAATCTGTGTGTGTGTGTGTGTGTGTGTGTGTGTGTGTGTACAGATGCTGTTGATCTCACTCTGGATCCAAACACAGTGAACAGAAATCTCTCTATATCTGAGAGGAACAGAAAGGTAGAGTGGGTGGGAGATGATCAGCGTTATCCAGATCATCCAGACCGATTTGAGTTCTGGCCTCAGGTTCTGAGTATGGAGAGTCTATCTGGACGCTGTTACTGGGAGGTTCAGTGGAGTGGAGATGGAGCTGATATATCAGTATCATACAGAGGAATCAGGAGGAAAGGACGTGATGTTAACTGTGTGTTTGGAAACAATAATCACTCTTGGAGTCTGAACTGCTGTAATAACAGTTACTCTGTCTGCCACAATAATCAGAAAACTGCCCTACCTGTCCCCCCTTCCCCCTCTAACAGAGTAGGAGTGTATCTGGACTGGGGGTCTGGCACTCTGTCTTTCTACACTATCTCACCTAAAACACACACACTGACCCACCTATACACACTCACCACCACATTCACCGAACTGCTCTATGCTGGATTCTGTATTTATTCTGACTCCTCGGTGAATCTGTGTGAGATAGAATAATCTCTACAGAGAGAGAGAGAGAGACATAGAGCAGGTTTGTGAAAAACTTTTTTTTCAGTTTATCAGTTTGATCTCACACTGAAATTATAGTAGAAATCAAACCTTTCTGTGTTTAAATTCTTCTAATTAAATAAAAGAGTTTAGAAAATAAAAAAAAACTTAAATTTTCTCAAAAACATGAGTCAAAAAAAGATTCAGTAAATGGAAATGTTGTTTTTGTAGTCTACATGGCTGTTTTAAAATCAGAAACTGATCAGAACTTTTTGTCCAAGTTGAAAACTTTGTCACAGACACCAGGAGACTTGTTGCTTATCTGAAGACCTAGTGACACTTCCCCCAGCTCCCGTCTTCTGCACACCAACATCTCACCTTCTTCACAGTGTTTCTGTGTGAGAGGCAGGCATCTGGTCTGAGAGACAAGATAAGACGACCAGATGACCCTCAGTTACAGTGTTCATGGATCTCCTCCCAAAATCCCTTTGCAAACACTGAGGAGACTAACCAGAGTAAATTCTGGATGAAAACTGAAGTCATGACTTTTGAAAATTCCTTTCCCTCTCCAACACACTCACACACTCACACACACACACACACACACACATTTCATACCTACTCAGGGAAGGACACCTGAAGGCTTAAGGAACAGATTTCCCCACATAACCAGTCCAACCTATTGGAGCCCCACAAGACCCCCTGTAGGAAAAGATACTCTTAAGTGCATTCTTCAGCCTCGTAAATTTGGGGTCTGTTTAGAGACTAGGCTCTTAAGAACCCAGCTTCAAGCCTCTTCAAATGCTCTCTGGAAAGTTTTTAATCATATAAAAGGAACAGGCACCCAATCCTTAATCAAGTACAAAATCGAATGATTCTCCTTTCTTAATCTCTGTTAAAGTGCCAATGTATAACTCAAACATGATTTCCACCCAGCATTGTCAGCATAATTAATACTAAACTCCCTGCATCTTGATAGGTATTCTGTGGTTCTTGAATTGTAACCCAATTTCATTAATATGGGTTATGAGTTGATCTTGGATCATTTGTAACTCTTTTTCATTTAATTATTTCTTTTTATTCTAGAATCACAAAATCCATATTTTTTAACCATGGTTCCAGTCTTACATATCTGACTTTCTTTCTTCATGTAGTCTTCATGTAGTTTTTTTAGAAGCAGAATTATACAATTTGTAGCTTGGGTGACTATGGATGTTTTAAGAATAGTGGAGTTTCTGCCTTCATATCTACAGAGATATTGGTAATTACTGGGTGATGTACTCAGCGTTTATTTTACGCTTACTTATCCTTCACATTTTACTTAAACATTGTTTAGAAATGTTAGTGTTGATTAATACTAATTTTGAAGTTATATTATTTTGCAAAATCTTTTCCTTTCCATAATAATGTTCCTTACGAGTGGCTTTATGTAACCATAGTGTGCAATTAGAATACTTTTATATGTAATAATCTGTAAACTTAGTAGTATTCAAAACAATTTTATAAGACATTGCATGCCTATGTTCTTTCACTTAAGTGGTAGCCAGGCTCAGGAATATTTAGTCCTTTTTTTGTTAATATTGCATCAATGGTGGATTTGAGCAGTCACACAGACAAAGAAATTACATATTCATTTGAAATTAAGCACAAAAATGCTTTTTTACCTGACTCGAAACAGGAAGTTTGAGTCACGTGGTTAGAAGAGAGAGAGAGACAGACCATGAAGAAACAAAAAGAAAGAAGCCCTCTCTCCTTCTCCTCTGCACTTTAGATCTGCAGGTCTTAGATTTCAGTTTTGGTTTTGTTTCATGTCTCAGCTCAGCACGTCTTTGTTCAGTTTGTTGTTTTCTTTCACTCAGTAATCTTCAAGTGTTGGTAACTGCTAGACTTTGCGTAAATGTCAAATAGCTGCCTCTAGCTGCATTTGTTTTCAAGTTTTGTTGATTCATTTTGAAGGTCTGATTGGCAGCAGTAGATCATTGTGAACTGTTCACAATCATAGTTTAAGAACTAGGGACGGAAGTAAACCAGCTGACTGCAATCCATCCCAAGAATCTGCTCCAGCGGCCCCAGCAAAAGGCTGCAGCCTGACTTTACTAGCCACCCTTTGAAAGCCAGCTGAAGAGCCGCCTTCCCCAACAGAGGCCAACATGGGCCAGCTGGAAGCCCTGGCTCACTATCCCCAGTCTTCATGCTCCTAAGGTTCACGTCCTCAGTGGCTTCACCTTTGACCCACGGACCCTTCTCCAGCCCACACGAACAGGCGGCTTCTCTTCCCCAACATGGCATGTGCATCACTATGCTCCTTATGTGATTCATTCTCGTTGTGTTAGCTACTGTCTCTGCTTTGATCACAACTTAGGCCAGTTATACGTTAGCATTAACATTATGTTCTGTGTGCTGCTCAAAATGCCTCAAATTAATCATTGTGAATCTCAGCTAATCACAGTATGTTTATCTGGTGAACTTCATATCTGTTTTTTCTGCAAACCTGTTAATCTAAAAATTAGTGCTTATATACCTTCAGTAATCTATCATTTAGTACTTATATATACCTTTGTATAGTACTTATATACTTTTATCAATAAATTATCCTTTATTAAAGTTATCACTTGTGGTTTTGTATATGTAATGATCACAATTGGATTGATAGATCACTGTCCATGGGCAAAACCTAACCTGAGATTAATCTAAGTAGCTGTTTACGGTGAGTGGAGAAAAAAGGTGGTTTAAATGGTCTTGTCCTGCTACATATTATTTTATTGGTGCCAGCACACGAGGCCTGTGGTAAAAAATCAGATTGATTGTGATAATTATATTACATATTATATTGAAACGTGACTGAGGAATCAGTCTCCCCATGTGAGTTTAGGCTGGTTAGCTTAGCATGCTAACACTTTGCCATTTGTCCCCCAAGTACAACACTTCCATGGCAGAACAACCACTTCTTCTGAGCTCACTAGCTGACTAGATTGCCTTCCAGTTATTCTAGCATGCTAACCCATGTCACTACCTGCTAACTGCATCACTTCCATAGTTTAGCCTATTAGCTTCCGTTTAGTCCAGCATGCTGACCTACATCACTTCCTGCCGACAGCATTTACATACTTTAGCCTATTAACCTATATCATTTCTCTGTAACTACTTCACTTCTTTAGCTTAGCATATCAGCTTTGGTTAGTCTAGTGCTAACCTCCCTTGTAGTCTATTGTACTGAAAAGTGACTACATGACTCTCTTGGCCTAGCAGAAACTTTTAATTTGCATGGTATGCTTTTAAATGACTTCCTTGGCTTAGCAGCAACTTTTAATTAGCATTTAATGCTAAATGTCAGTTAGCAGTGCTAACTGCCCACTCAACTGGAGTTTTTACAGTGAATAAAACATATATAATCCAAATATGACAAAAACTGAAAAGATGATGGATTTCTGTTAGTTGTTCTGCAAAGAAATGTCATTCATTCAGTTCTCAGAAGTTTTTTTAATTACTCTTTATTAAAAAACAATTTTAAAAATCACGAAATCCCGAACAATTTGAGCTACATTTTCATAGTTTGATTATGATATTCATGAAATTATACATAAATTCTACAAATAAATAGCATTTTACAGCTATCAGCATGACAGCATGTGCTGTCACATTGGCATAAAACACAACCTAAAAAAAGTGCAGTCTGCCTTTAAGGTTATGACATCATTTGACCAAGGTGACACTGACATTGATCAAGGGTGTGTCTCTCACTGAATTGTAGGATTTTAAGGTTGTTTTTGATGAGGATGAGCTGATGGATCAGGCCCTGTCACACTAAAATATCCCAGAAAAGAATGAAACTGTTCTAAATCTAGAACGTGTCTAAAAGGTTCTGAAATTCCTGCTTACATGCTAACAGTTTTGATGCTAGCATCTTAACAGGCTGAACAGGGTCAGTTAAAATGGCTGACCATCAGTCCTGACCCATCAGGCCCTGTCACAGCCCTGTGTTACAGGACCAGACAGCCTTCTGACAGGATCTTACAAATGAATGGCTTTGTTCCCTTTTATTACCTTCACTGCATATAATATGTATTTAATGCTGCCACAGTAAACATTATCCGAATAAACAGACATTACACTGTAAATCTGAAGCTCTTTATGCTCATAGATAAAAGTTTGTTTGGACTGTATCAGTTGTCAGTCATATTCTAATGAATTAGGTCCTTATTATATGTCCTTGGCTAAACTTTACCATATTAGTCTAATATTACATTAACATTAAAATCATAATTAGAAATTAAAATAGTGATGATTAATTAAAGAACACAGAGAAACTTTTCCTGCATCAACAAACTCCATAAAGTCAGTCCTGTCACAGCACCGTCAGTCCTGTCACACAGGACACTGTGATATAATAACTGACTATTTCAGAAAATATTGATGAAGTAATCTCTTTAACTGCAGATGAAGGTGGGTTTATTTCCAACATTACATGTTTGTAAAAATCTCCTGTGTAAAGGGAGGATTTTTACAGTACATGAGTGACTGGTGGTTATTCTGTGTTTAACATCCACTACAGTTAACCGAAATGGGGCTTATATTTCTATAGGAACTACAGAACCATGTTAGAGGGGGGACATGTGAATGCTATTTATGTCAAAGAAATTTATTAGGAATGTGTGTATATATGTATGAATGAATATATACATATACAGATTTGTCTGTGACTTGACATTTCAGAAATGAAATACGTGAAAAAAAGGTATTTTGTTGAAGCATTAATTCATGCTGAGATGGCACAATATGTGTTTCTCATAGTTTAACACGTCCTCCATACAACTCAGTGTTCAACTTATAGAACACTGGAAAAAGATCTTATACATAAGATCTTTTTTCCAAAAAGATTTTCAGAAGTGTAAATGTCCATTTCTGGTAGAAAGTCTCATAAAGCTTTGAGTAAAGGCTTTTTCAAATCCAGTTCAGAGGAAAGCTTCACTTCACCATCACTGCTGAAAATGATCAGCTCATGTTTATTTAAACTGGCTGAACTGATCAACACACAGAACTAAATAATCCCTCAGATTAACTAACACTGTGTCAGTAATCTCACCTCTCTTCAGGAACCCTTTACCACATTTCTGCACCTGCACGTTTCCAGCTTTTTAAGTCGCAAAACAAAACGAGCC